TTTGCAAAACTGTATTTTTCTAATCCTATCATTTCTTCTGCATTTATTCATTGGAATTCTTCTATAAAAATAACTTTTTCTTATCTACTATTTGGTTACCTGAAATATAACTCATCTTGCTATAAGAATAGCAAGGAGAGATAAGAAAGCCTTCCTCAGCGATCAATGCAAAGAAATAGAGGAAAACAACAGAATGGGAATGACTAGAGATCTCTTCAAGAAAATTAGAGATAACAAGGGAACATTTCGTGCAAAGATAGGCTCAATAAAGGATAGGAATTGTATTAACATAACAGAAGCAGAAGATATTAAGAAGAGCTGGCAAGACTACACAGAAGAACAGTACAAAAAATATCTTCATGACCCAGATTATCACCATGGTATGATCACTCACCTAGAGCCAGACATCCTGGAATGTGAAGTCAAGTTGGCCTTAGGAAGCATCACTATGAACAAAGCTAGTGGAGGTGATGGAATTCCAGTTGAGCTATTTCAAATCCTGAAAGATGATGCTGTGAAAGTGCTGCGCTCAATATGTCAGCAAATTTGGAAAACTCAGCAGTGGCCACAGGACTGGAAAAGGACAGTTTTCATTCCAATCCCAAAGAATGCTGAAACTACCGCACAATTGCACTCATCTCACACGCTAGTAAAGTAATGCTCAAAATTCTCCAAGCCAGGCTTCAGCAATACGTGAACCGTGAACTTCCAGATGTTCAAACTGGTTTTAGAAAAGGCAGAGGAACCAGAGATCAAATTGCCAACATCCACTGGATCATGGAAAAAGCAAGAGAGTTCCAGAAAAACATCTATTTCTGCTTTATTGACTATGCCAAAGCCTTTGACTGTGTGGATCACAATCAACTGTGGAAAATTCTGGAAGAGATGGGAATACCAGACCACCTGACCTGCCTCTTGAGAGACCTGTATGCAGGTCAGGAAGCAACAGTTAGAACTGGACATGGAACAACAGAGTGGTTCCAAATAGGAAAAGGAGTACGTCATGGCTGTATATTGTCACCCTGCTTAACTTATATGCAAAGTACATCATGAGAAACACTGGACTGGAGGAAGCACAAGCTGGAATCAAGATTGCTGGGAGAAATATCAATAACCTCAGATATGCAGATGACACCACCCTTAAGGCAGAAAGTGAAGAACTAAAGAGCCTCTTGATGAAAATGAAAGAGGATAGTGAAAAAGTTGGCTTAAAGCTCAACATTCAGAAAACTAAGATAACGGCATCCGGTCCCATCACTTCACGGCAAATAGATGGGGAAACAGCGGAAACAGTGGCTGACTTAATTTTTCTGGGCTTCAAAATCACTGCAGATGGTGACTGCAGCCATGAAATTAAAAGACGTGTATTCTTTGGAGGGAAAGTTATGACCAACCTAGATGGCATATTAAAAAGCAGAGACATTACTTTGTCAACGAAGGTCTGTCTAGTCAAGGCTATGGTTTTTCCAGTAGTCATGTATGGATGTGAAAGTTGGACTATAAAGAAAGCTGAGCGCCAAAGAACTGATGCTTTTGAACTGTGGTGTTGGACAAGACTCTTGAGAGTCCCTTGGACTGCAAGGAGATCCAACCAGTCCATCCTAAAGGAGATCAGTCCTGGGTGTTCATTGGAAGGACTGATGTTGAAGCTGAAACTCCAATACTTTGGCTACCTGATGCGAAGAACTGACTCATCTGAAAAGACCCTGACATTGGGAAAGATTGAGGGCAGGAGGAGAAGGGGACGACAGGGGATGAGATGGTTGGATGGCATCACCAACACAATGGACATGGGTTTGGGTGGACTCCGGGAGTTGGTGATGGACAGGGAGGCCTGACGTGCTGTGGTTCATGGGGTTGCAAAGAGTCGGACATGACTGAGCGACTGAACTGAACTGAACTTATCCATTAGTGATCAGGGTAATTAGTTGATTCCCTTAATCAACTCCATTGTTAACAAATGTTGTTTTCCTTACATTAATAGGTTTTTATGTATATTGTGTTGCATTTATTGAAGTCATTATTTTTCTTTTAATGCTCAAATTATTCCATCTTTGGCCAGTGGGTCCCCTTTTGTATTGGTATCTCAGTCATTTTTACAAGACTGTAATAGTCTTTGATAGCTTCCTGTCCTTTAGGCACAAGATGACCCAACATCATCTTTCCTGCTCCAGATTTGGAATCAGACATTTATCAAAAGAACCTTGACTTTGTTTAATTTTTAATTATTTTTTAAACTAGAAAATGGTATTTAGACACCAGATCTGTGTACTAAGGGTGTTCATTACTACTGAGTTGTTCGTTGCTTCTCAGTGTTTTCAGCAGAAAGGGCTACAGAATACATTTTTAAGGGGAAAAACATATATTTCATTCATTCTGCTAACTCAGATCTATATCTTAGGCTTCTTTAATACTTGTAATTCTTCTCATTTGTTGAAAATCTTGATTCCTAATGCCACTGACATAATTACTTTATTGAAAAATGCACCTATCATAGCTTCAAAATAGAAATATTAGCATCATTACTAACAATAAGACTAATAAATGCAATTTAATATTTAATATTTCTATGCAGTTCTACTTTGCCCTTCGATTGTATCCTATTAGGGAGGTATAATCAAAATACTTATAAGCCACTTAAAAGTATTTTCTCTGTGTAGTTATATCACTTCATTTGTTTCCATTTGTTTTTTAATTTTTATGGACTGTTTTATTCTTTCTACTGAACTTCTTTTTTATAAATATGCAACATTTATGTTTCTAACATAGTTTCCAACTATATAAGGTACATTCATAGAAGCCTCATTCCCATCCCTACCCACTCCATCCCACATAGCAAATAATTTTTAGAAGGTTGAGTTTATTCTTCCATTGTTTAACTTTAAATATAAGCAATTAATGTATATCATCCCACTACTTACACAGAAGATAGCACTTCTACAAACACTATCATGCACCTTGCTTATTTCCCTTATATACATGGACACTACTACTTATTAGTCTCTATTTATTTATAAGAACTTATCCACATATCTTTTTACAGCTGCATAACACTTCACCCTGTGTTTGTATAGTAATTTATTCAGCTAGTTAACTGACACACGAGCAGTTTCCAATCTTTTGCCACTGAAAATAACACCATAGTTTTTTTTTTTTAATGCCATAATGAATAGCCTTGTGCATAGAGCTTTTTGTATTTTGCCAATATATCATGAGGCTGGACTCCTACAAGTTTAGCCTTGACGTAGATTTACTGGGTGAAAGAGTAAATACATAGGTAATGTGGCTATAGATTGCCAAATCTCCTTAATTAGAGTTACCTCATTTTGCCTTCCCACAAGCACTGTATGACAATGCTATCTATCCACAGGAGTATTTTGGCGTGATATCACACAGTGGATAAATAAATCACAGTGGATAAATCACAGACAAGTTTCCTGTCCCCAGAAACTCTGAGTCTCATACCAGGCTTATGTGCAAATACAGTGATATATGCTAATCTTAGGTGCTTTCCAGGTGGCGCTAGGGGTAAAGAACCCACCTGCCAATGCAGGAAGATCCCCTGGAGAGCAAGGCAGTTCACTCCAGTATTCTTGCCTGGAGAATCCCATGGACAGAGGAGCCTGCAGGGCTACAGTTCATAGTGTCCCACAGAGCCGGGCACGACTGAAGCGACTTAGCACAGCACATAATGTTCTTTATTCGGAAGCTTAAGCTTCAGAGTCTGTCACTTACAGAGATACTTTCCAAGGCCCCAGCACTGTATTCACAGGCCCATTCTGTAATCTTTTTTTTCTAAAGAAGATACCCCAAATTACTAAAACGTCCACCTCACAGGCTTTAGAGTCAGTTTCCTAACTTTTGAATTATGGGATTGAATTTCAAGTTCTGAAACCACCTTGAGAGGAGAGATTCTTGTATTTAGTGACTGAGATAAACAAAAAGTAAAGTTTCCTTTGGCCAGAGATACCACTCCTGATTCTGATCAATTACCCACACAGGTAGTCAGCTGTCTACACAGGGCCCTCAACTTTCCCTCTCAAGGGCAGAAACCAAACCTTAGAATATATCAGTAGTCCTAGTAGACAGCCAAAGACTGGTAAATGACATTTACCAGGGCGAAAATCGAACAGATTACAGAGCAAGGTTTGGGGAGGGGGGGGCGGGTTGTGGTTTTGTTTTGGGGTTTTTTTTTGGTCGGGATAAGTAGGAGAATTTACACCAGGGGAGAGGGTATTCAAGGCAAGTGCCCCCTCAAAAAAAAAAAAAAAAACACCTTTCCATCAAAGAATGCAAAGGTCTGCGTCCTTACCTGTAAAAACAGGGTTAGTAATAAGCCCTGCTCTTGTGGAGTTTCTTTAGGGTTAGGAGAGATCATTTAAAGACTTAACCCAGTCCCAGCATTCGGGAGGCCCATAAATGGAGGACAGAAAATAAAATGGGTAATTGGTTGACCCTTGAGAGCAGTTAACAGGGATTCTTTGCGCATCATGCCTTATACAGCACTGGGAGGAGAAACAACCACTTTATTGATAAACACTAGGTGCGGATTAAATCCGTGAAGGAGTGGACGTTTCTGGCGGTTGCTTACTGATCCGTGAAACTAACTGAATGACCGATCGGTCCGGGTCTTTGAGCAACTGACAGCCCAGAGTTGGCTGGTGAACGCGGGCCTGGATCTGGCCAACGGCAGTCCAGGGCCCCAGTGACTCAGGCTGACAGTCGGGCCCCTAGCACGGCCGTCCTCGCTGTTAATCTCGGTCCAGGCCGGCCCAGACTTCGGCCGCTAGCTGCGCAGGGAGGGGGCTGTCCCGACTCTCCACGTGCAGCCCGCGGGTGCCGCAGCCAGGCAGGGCGTGCGCGGAGGCCGCGGCCCCTTTCTCCAAGGCCGGGGGCAAGTCGCGCAGTCTCCTGGCTGCAGAGCCCTGGAACAATGAGGCGCCGGGTTCTTTAAGGGAGATACCACCGCGCCGGCGGGGCAGGGGACCGCGTCTTCCCAGATGATCGCACTCAGCCCCGCGCTGCCGCCGCCTCGGCAACCGCACAGCGCGCAAATATGGCTCAGTGACTCTGACAAAAGGTGCAGCCTCCCTGCCGGCGGGGCGGACGCCAGACCTCCCAGCTCGGGCCGTGCTTCCCCGCGGGGCCCCGGAAGAGGCCCGCGTCCCTCAGGCATCCCAGCCCGGCGCGTAAGAAGATGCCCCAGGCCTTCCGTCCCAGCGTGCCCGCACACCTTCCCGCAGCTCGGTAAAGTCAGGAGTGGGGGCGGAGCGGGGGAGGGGAGGGCGCCAGGCGCGCGCACTTCCCTCAGCCCGGACCTGCGGTTTAGGCACCACTGCTGGGGCCGCGGGCGCCCGCTGCGGCTGGAGGGCGACCAAGCCACAGGGCGTGGAATGGCCTCGGCGCTCCCGGCCACCCCCGCGGGGAGGGGGCACAAGTGGTGCGTTCCAGAGCGCGCAACCCCCTTCCGCGACTCCCCCCGACTCCTGAAAGCCAAGGGAGTCGGGAAGCCAGCGGAGCGCCAGGCGCGCGCCCCGAAAGACCGGCGCTCGGCGTCCCGACTCGCGCTACGGAAAGCCGGAGGGGGGCGGGGCCGCGAGGCGTAAGGGGGTGTGTCCGCGCGCACCACGGGGGCGCGCGCCGGCCTCTGACTGGAGGCCGCGGCGGCGGAGGCGCGAGCTCCCCGATAATGGCGGCCTGCAGAGTCCGTGAGAGAGAGAAGCGGCGGCGGCTACCCTGAGGTAAATCTGGCCCCTCGGCTCGGCTGAGAGACCCTGCTGCAGAGCCGAGGGCCCTGCACGTGCCTCCCGCCCCAGGCGACCTGTCACTGAGCTGTCAGCGGAGTCGTCCGGGGGAAGGCCCCGCGCGCCTCAGGCCTCCGGCCCGCACCCCTCAGGCCACCGGCCCCAGCCGCGGCCTCCTCTTCTGCCCTGTGGCCTCCTCCCCAGGCCCCGGGCCTCAGCCGCCCACCCGGAGGAGTCGGGGCAGCTGCAGGACTGGCCCCTCCGGGTGAAGGGCCCCTAGAGGATCCCCTCCGGGTTTTCTCTGGAAGCCGCCGAAGAAGGGGAGGGCCTGATACTTGGCCAATGAGCGGGGCCCTGAGCCGCCGCGTCGGGCTGCACCTCTGCCCAGGACTGTTCCTTCCCGGGCGCCAGCAGGTGTACAGCCGGGCCGGCCAGTGTCCGAGCGCCGGGTGTAGGCACGAGGGCCCTGGGGGATGCCGTCCCAAGTTCCCGAGGTTCGCACGGTGTGCATCAGCGCACTGTGTTTTGACCCAGGATCTCAAAGACTTCACAGACACCCTCCTTCCCACCTATTCAGGGGGGTATGGGGCAGCTTTCAAGGCACGAGCCACTTTGAGATGGATAGGAATTGGCGATCCACGGAGGACAGGAACGAATGTCCACTGTGTAGCTGGGGCAGAGAATTCTGTGGCAGGAAATCCGACACTCGGAAATACTGTAGGAATTTGAAGAGCAGTGTCCAGTTGGAGGAAGTGGGACTAAAAGCAATCTCAGAAGCTTTCATTTTCTTTATTAAATCTGTTCTATCGACTTAAAATGACTGATCCCAACTTGAGAGGTTCTGTTTGTCGGTCGCTTTGTGTTCCCCTAAACCGTACACTAAAAATTGTACAATCTCAGGTAACTTTTCTTGCCCATGCTGGCATTTTACAAATGAGAATTGGTTCCTGAAGTTCATTAGAATCTTGACAGTCTTCGGAGAGTGAGGAGGCGCTCTTCAAACTCTTAATTCAACACATGAGTGTTTCCACGCAAGGCCTTTCTTTGCCCTTGCCTTTAAATGATTTAGCAAGTTGAATTCCAAAGAACTTTCTCAGAGAACCTCTTAATATGCAGGATAGTTTTCATTGGCAAAAATGACCTAGATCTAAATAGCTATTGTTGAAACAAGAAGAACAATAACCATATTCTAAGTAGCTTCGTTTATTTGTAAAGGAATATTTTTCTCCACAAACTTTATTTTGCAAGAAATAAGGAAATAAAATAGGAATGTGTATAGTTTGATCATTTACTTTTAAAAAAGAAAAATAACTACTCATTCTTACTTCTGTACAGTCTCAGTACCTAAACCTAAGCCAGGTGTTTGTGTTTCTAACTGTGAGTTTTGCCATTTTTAGGAACTTTTATATGTATCAGTTTTCAGGGGAAGCAGGAGTTTTTATTGTTTTTTCATGATCAGTAAATAAGAATATGAACTTTTTGGTTTATGTTTAGCAGTGGTGTTTTGAAGCAGTTCATGTAAGAGGTTGTCAGAGCAAGATGGCCTGGTTTCAAATCCCAGGTTCCCAGTTACTAGCTGTTTGACCTTGGGCATGTTGCTAAAACTCTGTGCTTTAGTTTCTTCATCTACAAAATGAGCTATTATGCTCAGTGAAAGTCGCTCAGTCATGTCAGACTCCTTGAGACCCCATGGACTATACAGTCCATAGAATTCTCTAGGCCAGAATACTGGAGTGGGTAGCCTTTCCCTTCTCTAGGGGATCTTCCCAACTCGGGGATTGAACCCAGGTCTCCCGCATTGCAGGCAGATTCTTTACCAACTGAGCTATCAGGGAAGCCCCATCATGCTCAGTATCTACCTCATAATATTGTTGTGAGGATTAAATGAGCTTAATATATAAAATACTCAGGACAGTTCCTGATATGTGGTAAGTACCACATTACTGTTACTATTATTAAATAGTAGTGCTACTATTATCAAAATATTTACATTTGCCCAGTGTATAGCAAATATTATTCAAGCACTGCAGACAGTGAGACAGATGACAACTACTAAATCGTGCATAAGAAGAAATTGAAACCAGTAGTTTTACTTAATTTCAACAGAGCACTTTGTTCATTTTTCCAGAAACCTTGACCTTGAAGATGGTGAGTAGCCAGCCAAAGTACGATCTAATACGGGAGGTAGGCCGAGGTAGTTACGGTGTTGTATATGAAGCAGTCATCAGAAAGACTTCTGCACGGGTGGCAGTGAAGAAAATCCGATGCCATGCACCTGAAAATGTTGAACTAGCCCTGCGTGAGTTCTGGGCACTAAGCAGTATCAAGAGCCAACATCCAAATGTGATTCACTTGGAGGAATGCATCCTACAAAAAGATGGGATGGTGCAAAAGATGTCCCACGGCTCTAATTCTTCCCTTTATTTACAGGTATGTCTGGTTGAATGGGAAATAGAAATGATTTGAACGTAGCATTGGTCAGCAATAAGAGGAATGAAAGAGTCGGATGAACTTCTACTTTTAAGTGCAGGTGTTTATATAGTTAGGAATAGATAGGGGTCTGCCAAGAACTGAGTAGATGTTTCCTCTAAAACAAGGTTTTATTTAAACCTGTGATGCAAATACCTAAAAATAACATAAGCCACCTGTTATGCCGTGATACTTGCCAATCTGCATAGGAATGGGACAGCATAGGAACTGGAGAGGTGATTGAGACTAGAGTCTAATTATTTCACTTATTTGAAATCAACTTTTTTTGGAACTGAAGACAGAAGAAAAGGGAAAACGCTACAACCAGTTGTAGTCCCATAGGTAACTGGGCTTTTCTTTATCACTGACATGAACTCATGTTCATGTTTTAGATCCTCTGCTGTTTCAGAAGGTTATTTAAGATCCTAACCATGCAGTTCCATTTAATTTTCATGGATTATGTGGCTTAGCACCTGAATGTTACTAACGACTTAACATTTGGCTTCCTACTCATTCCATACTCTGATCAGAACATTCCTATGAGAAATGTACTCTTATTATCATCATTACCAATGAAGAAACTGAGGCTTAGAATAGATACTGAATTGATCTAGAATCACATAGCAAGTGGCAGAATTGGGAGCTAAATGTAGGACTATCTGGCAGCTAAAATGTGTGCTCTGTAACCTCCAGGTTACTCTTTTGCCTCCAGATTACTCTTTCGTAGACTTGGGGAAAGCATTAATATAGGAAAACAGAAAATCTGGATTTTTTTATAAGGTTGATTTCTGCCATAGATCAAAATTTCTAGTAGGTCTATTCTTGAAGAGAAAATATTCTTCAGACATAGCTCTAGTTAAAGGCCAGAGCAAAATTTCTTAAGTCCAGTCATTCTTGGAACACAAACAACTTTCCACCATTGTGTCTAAATTCAGAATTTACCATCAAGGTACAAAAGTCTGTTAAAACAGCAAAAACTTTTGTTCTAGGAACAACAAAACAAACACATTATTCTGTGTAATTAAAAACCTGCAAGTTTCATTGTATGGTGAAAAAATATCAGTCTTGAGAACCTAATTTTACTGCAAGCTATGCCCTAAAGTTTTCTCTCTTAAGATAGGGAATATAAATGTAACTATTTCGTCTTTATTTGTTTTACTTTGTATTCTTCTAAAAGTGCTTATTAGATAAGTTATAATGGTAAAAAAAAATCAGAAACATTCTTACCACATTCCACATAAAAGTGACTAGAACCTTGTTGGACTTTGCATTGAATTTTGGAGACTAAAATGCATAATTGAACTATAAATGCAAGGATATTTAAACATATGGCTTAATGCTGATGGTATCCTTGAGTCCAGATGGAGCAACTCTTATAATAACTAGGTATTAGCTAGCTAATCTTTCAAGGCTGTAAGATGTAAAGCCTTGATTCAGTCATTTTTTTTTTAATGTAAAGTACCTTTTTGTTTAGTAATCTATTTTATCTTTTTAAAGCCTGATAGACCTGTGTTTGACTTAGGGCATTTTTTGCTAGCTGTAGGACCTTGGATAAATAACCCATCTTTTCCCAGCATCTGTATCTTCAAATGTAAGGAATAATAATTTCTACCTTCCATGGGACTTGTCAAAATAAGAGGTGATGCAGACACAGTACTTGGCACATAGGAAGGACTCAGTCATAAGCAACTCTAATAAAATTATATTTTCTACAGATTTATTTAGTTAACCAGACATTCACCAACACATTAGCAAGTGCCTTCTCTAAATTTACACTAGTAAAAACAATCAATATTTACACGTGGTAAAACCAAGCAAATCTATATTGTGATAACAGAATCTCTACATATGGTCTTCCCTATTCTCTACATTATTTTTCCTCCATGTATTTCTAGGTACCTTTCTTGTTCTTAATTGGAATCATTCAGTCAGTTCCTGATAGCTAAAAACCTCACCTAGAAGAAATGTAAAACAAACAGTTAACAGAGGACACATCTTATGCATAGGAACTTTATGGACAATATGTATACTTATCATGAGTGTCATGAATGAAAAGTACGGGATGGTGTAGGCGCATGTAATAGGCAACCTGACATAATCCTGGGGTTCAGGAATTCTGAACTGTTTCAACCGAAACTTGCAAGGTAAAGAGGAATTAGCCAGGTGAGTGAGTAAGAAAACTTCCCGGGCAGAAAGAACTGTACATACAAATGTCTAGAAGCAAAAGGCACGAAACATTCTAAGAACTGAAAGAAGATAATAAGACTGCAGTGTACAAGGAGAGTTGTTTTAGGTGAGACTAGAAAAATGAGCAGGGTGAGAGTGCACAGGCTCCCACGGCCCATGTTAAAGAGCTTAGACTGTAGCCTGAGAGAACAGGGAGGCTGTTAAAG